GCAGCGCCGCCAAATTTTGGGTACCTTACCGGGCATCAATTTGACACCTTCACACAAAATTTCAAGTCACAGGTCACCTCAGGTCAGGGGTTATTGAGGTCAAACTGAGGTCATGTTCGAGTAAAAATGAGCAAAAAACATGACATCTTGAAACGCTCACCAATTCTACAGTTAACAAGCAATTTTAAAGTTCTTTATGTGGTTGTGTAGAGAAAAGACGGCGCTACAAAACTGCTATCTCCGATTTTCGAAATTTTGGGATTTTGACCCCAAAAAATAAAAAAAAATTGATTTTTTTAGAAAAACTAAAAAAAAATCCAAACATTTTTCGAATTTCGAGAAAACCGGAATATATGTGATAGTCCCTGCGCTCTTCGATATACATACCAAATTTTAGATCGATTCCTCTTTTTTTGGCCAAGTTATAGCGAAAAAAACTGTTAAAAATTGATGACGTCAAATTTTTGAACTCAATTTTTAGCAATTCTAGAGCTCGTAGCGCAAAACGGAGGCCACCATTGAACTCCCCGTGACGAGCTGCATCGAATCGATACCCATTTTATGCAAAAATATCAACTTTGAAATTTGACCTAATTTGACCTGACCTTGACCTGACCTTGACCTGACCTTGACCAAAACGTGACCTAAGCTGGCCCTAAAGTCTGTCTGACCCACATAATCGCATTTGTCATGTAAAATGGACCATAAAACATGTATCACACGACACTTTCATATTGTGACCCCCCCAGTGACCTGACCTCTATGACCTGACCTGGTATCAGTGACCGCAAATAGCAAAATATGTGTTTGAAGAACATTTCCCCATCGATTATTTTCAATGAAATGCATTTTACACGATTTTACAACGCATTTCTTGAAATGCCTGTAAACGGTGAAAATTCGACCTTTGACCTGACCTGTGACGTCATCGGTTTGACCGAGGTCAATGAAATTGGGTCACAAGGTAGTTCCCCGTTGGGGCTATCCAACACCGTTTACCGCTTGTCGCTATGTTGCGTGGTTCTCGAGATCTGAGGGGGGGCCAAAATGCCCCCCCCCCCATCAGACCACGTTGCTCGGCAGACCCCATCTGGGCGCGGGTTAATGTTGTTGTTATGTTCAAAACCAGTAGCAAGCACACTCCCTGAAACGTGAAATAGTGATACAAATTACCCCACCATGTGATACAACTCACCCAAGCTATGGGGCAAGTTGTATCAAAAACATTGTTCTATTCGGCAGACCGTAGAAGAAAAACTGGTAGAGGTAGCGGAAAAGTTACTTTGCACAAAAAAGCAGAAGAATCAAGGAAGGGGATAGTATGGAAATAATTAGTTTATCACGGATAGTTACGAGGTTATGGGTCTCGGAGTAAAAACTGATACAACCCACCCCACTCTCACCTAAGATTATTTATGTCTCTTGAAATTTTCATTGAATATAATTCAAGCACTAGAAAGATCGTATTCGTTCGCCAGTTTTTTGACCGGCTGGCGTTTCTTGCGTAGAGCGCCCTTGAGCAAATATTTAGGTATAACGCAGGTGATTTTTTTTTGCTGCTAAGACGCCTTCAGGGTCAAATCAAGCAGTGGCGGCGGAGCACCCCCCTATCATAGCCTTTGGAAAAAAATTTTGCTCACAATGTGTAAAAGCTATTCACGGGAGGGTACTGAAAGTTTGGTAACGATCGACGCAGTGGTGCTGGAGATATATCGAAAAAATTACAGGGGGGGGGGGAAATGCCCCCCACCGCCTGGCAGTTTAATATATAGATTGTATGGTTTTTGACGAGTGCTGATCACAGCGGAGGGACGTCGGCTGAACCTCGGCTGGACGTCGAGATGGTAGCGTAGGGATGTCGGGTTGACAGCGAGGGGACGTCGGCTGGGCGTCGGTCCGACGTCGGCTGTACCTCGCGGGTTGATGGCGGGGAGACGTCGGCTGAGCGTCGGGTTGATGGCGGGGAGATATCGGCCCGACGTCATCTCGGCTCAACCTCTCGGCGCACGATCTCGGCCCGACGTCGGCTGGACCTCCGCTGGACGTCGCGTCGGTAGGTATATGTGGACGTTCCCGACGTCCAGCCGATGTCGGGCCGAGGTTAACCGACGTTGGGCCGACTTCGGGCCGAGCCTCGGCCCAACGTTGGGCCGATGTCGGCATGTTTACTGGGATTGTTAAAGGTAGTGTGCCACCTTTGAAAGATTTCCCATTTTATTTTTCCTAGGATAAGAAGCTTCTGTTTTTACCTAATATCGCAAAGAAAATCAAAAATGGGCCTGGAATAGTGCCTTTTTCGCCTAAAAGTTTATCGGTTTTTCGATATGTATAACTGTCTAATCGTAGACAACACAATGTCGAGCCTTAAACTGTAAGCCTGTATTGGTATTGTTTCTTTTATTTGGCTGTCGAACATTATTCATGGTTTGAAATATGATTTTATGTAAAATAATTGATATGAAAAAGCCGTCTCTTAAGTTATGACCCCATTTCACCACACGCAAGTGGCAGAAATGACAATGATCAGCTGACGCATTTTTCTTGGCCGAAGTCAGAGCGCGCGGCCCGACGCACCACCACCGCACCACAAAGTATGAGCAGAAGCCGCGCCGAAAGCCAGGGCCCCGGTAACGTGAGGTAGCCGAGTCGGGGCAGCGTGCGCTGACCCAAGCCGGGGCCGCAGCTTTGGGCGCGGTCTACCGCATCCCCGCGGGCAGCCCCGGGCTATCACATGACACCGGGAGGACGCGCGGCCCCGGCTTGGGTCAGCGCACGCTGCCCCGACTCGGCTACCTCACGTTACCGGGGCCCTGGCTTTGGGCGCGGTCTGCCGCACCACCTAACAGGCGTGTTCGAAACCGCAGGAGATGATGATGAACGGGTTTATCGAAACTTGATTGGATGAGTATATCGGTAATAGCGATTTCAGTGTGTGCATTTATTGTTCATAGCGTTGTGAAATGTGGTTGGGGTACGACCGACAACCCGTCGGGGCGAATTTCGCACTGGGGTACTCAAAATTTGAAGAATTTAAGACGTTTCCATGAGTTTTGAAGGTATGGATAAGTTCTAAAAATCCGGTTCTCCTTAGCTGGGCCATTAACTCCATACGGTCCAGGAAAGCTGGCACACTACCTTTAAGCGACGCAGAATATCCAATGCAGCAAGTGACCATGCACACCCGCCCAGCCCCCATGGTCCACCAAGTAACAACACGCCCCACACCACTCGCCAGCCCACGCCAACCACTCAGACGAGCCCCCCGCGCTGGTCTGACGCAACACTGGTATACAAAGCGCTTCACCCGGCGACCCGAACCGATGTCAAACAGCGTAGGTAGACTGTGCCGCTTAGTCTCAATGGTATAGATGCAATTATGCGGAGTGTTTGCATTTTCCCTTAAAGGGGCGTCCTACCCCACCCTCCCCTATCCTCCATTTTGACCTTTGACGCTATCTTTACAGGTCAAGTGACCTCAAATCCCAAATTTCAGGATTGCAGCTGATGCGTCTCAGTGAGGCCTTTCCAACGCCGCCTCATTCGTCTCGCTACGATACTTATTTTTGAAGATACCGATAACCTGGGTTGGGGTGGAGGGAGATGTTAAACGCCCCTTTCAGTCAATGACGTTCGGCTGGAGGCTCAGTCAAGCGCGGGTTAAAAATGTACGGCTTTGGCACTTCTTGTTCAAAACAGGTGTTACTTGCATTTTTCTGTATTGCTTTATGCTTAACCCGCGCCCCGCTGGGGGGGGGGGGGGGGGAGAATCTGCCCTGCCTCCCGTTTTTCGCCAATAACTGCTAAACGCGTTACGCCAGCGACGTCAAACTTTCAGTACCTTATCATACATCAATTTGACACGTTCCCTGAAAATTTGAGCGAAATCCGTCGGTAAATATTTGAGAAATTGACATTTTAGTGACGCCATGTTCGCCATTTTCGCCTAAAAAAACGGCAAAATTTCAAACGCCGCTAACATCTTCATTTTTAAAGGAATCAAGACGTAACAAAAAGGTTACACGTGAAACTACTTTGTCTATCAAATGGCTATCTCGGTTTTTTGAAAATTTTGGATTTTGGCCCAATTTAAAAAACTGACTTTTTTGCGAAAATAATTATAAAATCCAAAATTTTGAGTGTATCAAAAAACAGAATATATGTCAGAGAAGTGGTCTATGTGCACCTACATACCAGTTTTTAGAAGAATCGGTTCAAAAATGTAGGAGTTATTCAAAATTTTATGACGTCACGACACACACAAATTTTGAAAAATGATTTTTTTTTGGAAGTTCTAGACCTTGTACGGAAACAAAAATAGCACCATTCGATTCGCCGTGAAAAGCTGCAACAGATAGACACCTTTTTAGGCCTTAACAACCAACTTCAAAATTTGACCTCACTTGACCTCACCTTGACCTGACCTCGACCTGAAATTCATCCAGAGGTGGTCCATATCACTTATTGAGTGTGCTTATTGAATTCTATGAGTAAAATGACCCATAAAACATGTGTCGCACATGCCCTTTTCTATATTTCGTTTTTGGTGACCTGACCTGACCTGACCTGACCTTGACATTGACCTTTGAATGACATTGTATGCAACGAATATTGTCTTGGTAGTCTAAGAACACGTTTTGGGCAATCAGTCTCAGTCCATTCTTCGGCAACTACGGTGCAAGGCCGATACTGTAGAAACTTCCATTTTGTACCCTTGACCTGACCTTGACCTGACCTCTGACCTACTTAAGCAAAAAGCATTGGGCTCTTTAGATCCGCTTTGTTGAGAGCTTTCGATTGCCGTTTTCCCCGTCTTTCTACGACCATCGGTTCGGAAGTTAGACAGGGGGGGGGGGGCAGAATCTGCCCCCCCCCCCCCAGCAGGGCGCGTATGGCTGAATAGCCCAGCGGGGCGCGGGTTAATCTTGAGTGCCTACCTACTGGACCTGAGCTGGCCTCAGGTCACACAGATATGCACCTCTGAGAGTCGGCCGGCTTTCCAGGCTGGAGCGGGCGCGGCGGCGCTGGTCTTTTGCGGCGACTTCAACAGCGGGCCGGGCAGGTCCGTGTGCGCCCTGATGGACGCCGGCGTCATTGGCGTGCAGCAGTTCGTCGACTGTAAGCGGGCCGGGGGCGGCGGCCACGGCACGGCTCGGGGGCGGCCGACTGCTCCGGGGCGGATGGCAGGGGGGTCTGCTCGGGGGCGGATGGCACGGGGGGGCGGATGGCAGGGGGGCTGCTCGGGGGCGGATGGCACGGGAGGGGGGCGGATGGCAGGGGAGGGCTGCTCGGGGGCGGATGGCACGGGGGGGGGGGCTGCTCGGGGGCGGGTGGCACGGGGGGGGCTGCTCGGGGGCGGATGGCACGGGGGGGGGCTGCTCGGGGGCGGATGGCACGGGGGGGGGGCTGCTCGGGGGCGGATGGCACGGGGGGCTGGCACGGTGGGAGGGGGGTTGCTGCTCGGGGGATGGCACGGGGGGCGGATGGCAGGGGGGCTGCTCGGGCGGAGGGACTGCTCGGGGGCGGATGGCACGGGGGGGGCCTGCTCGGGGGGGGGGGGTTGCTGCTCGGGGGATGGCACGGGGCCTGCTCCGACACAGCAGAGGCCCGGGGGTGGCACCTGCTCTGGTTAACTGATAGAGTAGGTAGGGTGTGTTTTAGTATTTCTCGAATTAAAGCGTGGATTTTTCAGATCGTAAATTATGTGAAGCGACAGTGTCACATTTTCACAAAGCTGATTGACACATTGATTGAAAAGGTCACGGTGACGAACTGTTATTCCAGTTCAAAACTCCATTTCCTTTAAGCCCGACTCCCTGCCACGGCGTGGTGCGGCCAGGTCCGGCTGCCTCGTAGCTGCTCTGGCTTACTGTGACTGAAGTACAGTTGAGGTACAGCACGGCTGATACGGTTTAAGTCCGGCTGTGGTGCGGGCTAGCTCCGGGATCGTGCGTCAGCTCCAGTAGAGCTCCAGACCTTGCCTGTACTTGGGCCGGCGTAAGTGCCGGAGCTAGCCAGAGTGAAACCAGACACGGTCCAGACCAATTTTGTTGGCTGGGATTGCGCGAGGTGCGCCTGTCGGTCGGCGGGCCGCTGCTAACCCACGGCCCTGCCGGCCAGGCGACGAGCACCGGGCGCCGGAGGTCACCTTCAGCCACCCGTACCAGCTGGCGAGCGCGTACGGCGCGCCCGAGGTCACCAGTCGCGGGTCAGACTTCACTGGCACCCTAGACCACATCTTCTACATGGCCGACCGACTGACACTGCGGCAGGTAGGACACCAAACCCGCTGACACTGTGGCAGTTACGACAGCTGACACTGACACTGCGGCAAGTAGGGCAGCTGACACTGCGGCAGGTAGGGCAGCTGACACTGACATTGCGTCAGGTAGGACAGCTGACACTGCGGGAGCTGATACTGACACTGCGGCAGGAAGGACACCTGGCACTGCGGCAGGTAGGGCAGCTGACACTGCAGCAGCTGACACTGACACTGCAGCAGCTGACACTGACACTGCGGCAGGTTGGACAGCTGACACTGCGGCAGGTTGGACAACTGACACTGCGGCAGGTAGGGCAGCTGATTCTGCGGCAGGTAGGGCAACTGACACTGCGGCAGGTAGGTCAGCTGACACTGCGGCAGGTAGGGCACCTGACTGACACTGCGGCAGGTAGGGCAGCTGACTGACACTGCGGCAGGTAGAGCAGCTGACACTGAGGCAGGTAGGGCAGCTGACACTGAGGCAGGTAAGGCAGCTGACACTGCGGCAGGTAGGGCAGCTGACATCGCGGCACTTACCCTCATGGACAGACCCATTAATCTCTCACCCAGCGGCGGAGTAAGGCGGCACTGCATGGGGAGACGGGCCGGCCGCCACGCGTATTTGGAATTTCCGACCTCGACGAGCGTCTGTGGTAGAAAACCACCACTTTAGTAGGGGAAACTATATATATATATAGCCTTGGGGGAAACTACTGCTGTCTGCCACAATTTGCACTGCATGTCAAGCTATTGTAGCGTCATCCATATGCATATACATTTCCGACCTCGACGAAAATCTCGCGGCGCTTCGCGCCGACCCGCGCCACCCATTCATACTGGAGACCAAAAGAGATTATGAGTTCAGAGTTGTGACAAATACCTAAAGCAACCACCACGTATGATGTATACATTAACACTAGTTAACTATCAGATTGACGGCATGTGTCAACAATTATACCCTGATAGAACTTAGAAGACCGGAGGCTCTGGTTACCCGTGTAAAAATGAATACTTCGGACGCGTACCGCGTAGGAATTCAGCCCAGTATCGTTGAACAGATAGTGCATCGGCCTGAAAAAGTGCGGTAACGATACCTAATTTTGGGTTTTTAGTCGGCCGATCCGTATTCCGTCCCCCCTGTCGAAAATCTGTGGCGACGCCCCTGGCACGTAAGACAAAAGTACGCATCGCAAATGTTCGTACAGTATAAAATACGCATGGACAAAACTACGTCAAGGACAAAAGTACGCACTACGCATGGCAAAAGTACGTAAAGTATAAAGCACGACTAATGGATAAAAGTACGTGAAGGACAAAAGTACGTATCGAAGAAGTACGTATAGGTGCATTATTAAGTACGCATGGACAAAAGTACGTCAAGGACAAAAGCACATATCGTAAAAGTGCGTACAGCATAAAGTACGTATGGATAAGAGTACGTCAAGGGCAAAAGTACGTATCGCAAAAGTACGTCGAGTATAAAGTACGTATGGAATAGGTACGTCAAGGACAGAAGTAGGCGTATCGCAGAGGTAGGTACGTACAGTACAAAGTACGTATACCTAGACAAAAGTACGTCAAAGAAGAAAATACGCATCGAAAAGTACGTAAATTATAAAGTACGTATATCGCTGACTGCTGAGGTACGTACCCTTGCTGACTTGCATAGATGTCGCAATGGGTCGCAACTACAGCGAGACATGCAGTGCAAACGGTAGCAGACAGCAGTAGTTTCCCCTACCAAAGTGGTGGTTTTCTACCACAGACGCTCGTCAAGGTCGGAATTTCCAAATACGCGGCCGCCACGTCCAGGCGCGCCGCAGACGTGCCATAGAGCACGAGCGACGCCCGAACCGCGGCCGTGTCCTGATCCCCCTAACAGGCAGCCCCGGACCTGTCCATGCAGGACGAGATCGGACGGCTGAACCCCGGGTTGGGCCGGGCCTGCCAGCGGACAGCAGCCGGCAGGAAGGCGTTGGGGCCAGTGGGTTCCGCCGTGTAGAGCGCCACCCTTCACTGGGAGAAACCAACCGATGTCTACCCCGGCACACTCTGAATATCGGTCATTCAAACGTTCGCTCTATCGTACCGAAGCCTAATGAAATCAATCAACTGTTAACGCAACAAGATTTGGACGTTTTATGCGTAACGGAAACATGGCTCTCAAAACCCGTTCAGAGCAGAATCTTAGCTCTCCCGACCCCGGATATCAGATCATAAGAAGAGATCGGCCATCCCAACCCAAAACGGGGCAGAGAGGTACTGCTCGTGGAGGTGGTGTGGCTATCATACATCGTGAGGAGCTGACTACTAGTGTTCTGCCAATCCCTGCAGCCGGGCCTTGCGAGACTCTCTGGCTCAGCATCAGCGGCAGGGGTCTTCGCTCGGTCACAGTCGGCGTGGTGTACCGAGCACCATCCACATCGGTGGCCAGCGCTGTCGACGACCTCCAAGATCAGCTAAAACACGCGCTCGGCTACGGAAAGCCAGTTTTTTGCTTGGGCGACACAAACATAAATTTATTGCAACATGACGCTCCTGGAGTACGTCAGTACAAAGCCGCCTTGAACGAACTGGGTCTAACTCAACTAGTCACCGAGCCAACACATCTAGAACCCTCTACTTCACTCATCGATCACATCATCAGCAATGTTCCGGATCAAAACGCTTCAGTCCTAACATCATCTGACCAAATCGCCGATCACCTCACCATCACCGTTCGAGCACAGCTCCGTCGTCAGAGCCGTCGGCCGTCCCCGTTCAAGGCACGTCCCTGGCGGAAAGTGAATTGGGATGCCGTTTGCCTATCTTTGCTACTATCAGACTGGGGTGAAATGTACAGCGCGGATAGCGTGGACAATAAATTAGCTACTTTTCTAAATCTGTGGTGGAAGATTGTGGACACTCACTGCCCCTAAAAACTGTAACCCCTCGTCGACCACGGTGCCCCTGGATAGAGGACAATGAAGAGCTTAAACAGCTCATGCGTGAAAGAGATACGGCTTTCCGTACATGGCAATATTCTCGATCCGTCGATGATAGAGATGTGTACCGGAGATTGCGGAACCTTGTGAAAGGGCATCTATTAAAAAGTAAACGCGACTTTTTGTCAGCTCACTTGTTATCTGATCCACGATCTTTTTGGCGCAACATATCTGAATTTGCGGTGCGTCCTGCATGTGGGGGTAACAAAGGCAGCTGTGGGATGCCGACAGAACAGGCAGATGAGTTCAATCGTCATTTCGCCACCGTCGGATCGAAAATTGCTGCGGAGCTAGCCGTCAGCGGTCCCTCTCGGCTCCCGCCAAGGCCGCCGCGTGTGACGTCAGCGGGTCTGCGCCTGAAGCCGGCTACACTGTCAAAACTGTCTTTGGCGTTGCGAAAGTTGTCAGCATCTAGAGCAGTGGGGCATGACGTGTGCCACTACACGCAATCAGAGCATGTTTTCCTGTGATTGGTCCACACTTGCTGCATATTGTGAATGCATCTATAATACCTATCATGTCATTTTCCATTATCATGGAAACTCGCGACCGTCGTACCACTTCATAAGTCCGGCGACATAGATAACCCGAGTAATTTCCGGCCCATCTCTCTCCTATCGGTGGCCTCAAAGTTATGTGAAAAAGTTGTTTGTATGCAGCTGTCGTCCTATCTTGCTACTAATCACCTGTTGGTCAATTCGCAATATGCATATAGAGCTGCTCATTCAACGGAGGATGCTTTGACCGATGCTGTCGAGCGGATGACGCGGCGCATCGACGAGGGTGACATCGTAGCTGTAACTTCAATTGACTTGAGCCGCGCTTTTGATAGCGTTGATCACGACGTCCTCTTCACGAAACTCTCGTTGGTATGGAATAGATCCGAATTGGTTCCGAAGCTACCTGTCTGGTCGGCAACAGGTAGTGAGAGGCGGGACCTTATCTTTGCCTCTGTCTCACGGTGTTCCACAGGGCTCCTTAGTTGGTCCCATCCTCTTCAGAATCTTCACAAATGATCTTCCAGCATATGTTCCCCACGGACGCTTGGTTTCCTATGCCGACGATCAGTGGCGTATCCAAGGGGGAGGGGTCCTGGGGGTCCTAGGACCCCCTGGAGCCTAGACAAAAAGTTTTTTTTTATAACACGGAAAAATAAAATGACTTCAAGGGCCCTTTTGACCACTTCCCAATTTATTCGCAAAAAGAAAAAGTATTGTAGAACTATTTAGGGACCCTTTGAGGACTAACGTTATTAGAGGACACCTTTAGGCCAATGAGGGACCTTGTGAAGTAAACAGAGGGCCCTTTCAGGCACACAGAGGGCCCTCTCAGGCACACAGAGGGCCCTCTCAGGCACACAGAGGGCCCTCTCAGGCACACAGAGGGCCCTCTCAGGCACACAGAGGGCCCTCTCAGGCACACAGAGGGCCCTCTCAGGCAAACAGAGGGCCCTCTCAGGCACACAGAGGGCCCTCTCAGGCACACAGAGGGCCCTCTCAGGCAAACAGAGGGCCCTCTCAGGCACACAGAGGGCCCTCTCAGGCAAACAGAGGGCCCTCTCAGGCACACATAGGGCCCTCTCAGGTACTCAGGGGGGCCCTCCCAGGTACACAAAGGGCCCGCTAAGACCAGCAGAGGGCCCCTTTACCCGCGCCCCGCTGGGGGGGGGGGGGGGCAGAATCTGCCCCCCCTCCCGTTTTTCGCCAATAACTTCTAAACGCGTTACGCCAGCGACGTCAAACTTCCAGTACCTTATCATACATCAATTTGACACGTTCCTGAAAATTTGAGCGAAAACCGTCGGAAAGTTTTTGAGAAATTGACGTTTTAGTGACGTCATGTTCGCCATTTTCGCCTCAAAAATGGCAAAATTTCAAACGCCGCTAACATCTTCATTTTTAAAGGAATCAAGACGTAACAAAAAAGGTTATACGTGATTCTACTTTGTCTATCAAATGGCTATCTCGGATTTTTGAAAATTTTGGATTTTGGTCCAAATTTTTTTAAAGAAAACTGACTTTTTTGG